GTTTTCTCAAAGCTTAAATAGTTTTGGTATCAAAGGCTTTTTTAACTCATTCGACCTTCTTGCTAGATTTGTCATCACTATCTTCTTGAGGTTTAGCAGCGCTCTTGGACTCATCAAACTCCAGCAACTGCACATTGTGTCAGGACAGATTGTCGTATCAGAACAATTATATATGACATAGCAGACAATCAAAGACCAAAGCAAAACACGAATAAGCATATCTACATGAAAGGGGAACCATTTAAAACTCAAAAGCCAGTATGAAAATCAGAATCAAACAGGGGTTGTGAACAAACCTGTTTGACTTCACCATTCCATATACAGTGGGCAGCCAAGAATCCAATAACAGCTGGCACAATGTACAACAGTGCAGGCTGGAAACAATAACAGTTAGAGAATGAAACAAACGGGAAAAAAGGAAAAAAGGATAGCAACAATCGAGACAAGGTTAATGTGTCATGGTGCAAAGAACACCCTCACTTTCAAGGATTCCAGCCCAACATGTACAATGAGGAGAAAGAGAATGTAGTACCTGTGCAGCCTGAAACCAGTTCATGACTATAATTGTAAGGACCAAACCAACAGTGTAGCCTAAAAATGCACTCTTAAAGTACTGGCTTTCTCTCCCCCTAGATACATCAAAACGCAATGCTAATGCTACAAAAATACCTGAATGAGAAAAAAAACCCAATGTAAGTGCCAAGAACTTGAAATACCATGACTTGTTTCTTTTGTAGGGGCACGCATATAACAATCTAATAAGATATCGCTAAAATATCATGTATCACAGACAGTCAGTCAGACACAATCCATAAATATAACCTAAAAAGATGTAGGATAAAATTCCTTGTCCAAACAGAAGGAGAAGTAATTGCTGCAATTTATGAATGTTTGAAAATTGTGACCAATTTAATCCCTCACAACTACTGATATCAAAAGGCAAAAGGTTGGAAACATGCTCCTAAAAAAATAAACAGCATCTACTAGCACAAAACAAACTTCAAAAGGTTAAAGGATGTAGAAATCTATACAATATTAACCATAACCAGGCAAAGAATCTACTTAGACTTTCTAAAAATCAAGTGATGCAGATAAAGATGGTTCCAACTGTAAATTTCATCATGACTAAATCACTACAAACATCATTTCCTCCATCTTGCACCTTGAATGTTTTAAAACATACCAGGAATTACAATATCACCAAGTCCAAGCATGGAAAATGGCCGTGCAGAATCTGCTGTTGGGAACAACAGCTGCAGGGAAAAATTAAAAATCAACACAAAGATATCATGATCCAAAGAAAATATGTAGACTTAAAACAAAACCAGGCAAGATGAACATTTCAATTCAGCTGAAGAACTGACCTTTATAGGAGCATCAAAAGACTTTGCAACACTAACCATCACAGGGGTGAAAAATACCCAGAAAATATCATACACAAAAAGCCCAACCTGCATTACAGTAAAATAGCAGTAGTTATATAAAGGACAAATTGAGGAGGAGAGCAAAATGCCAATTGAACGTGTTAGGTATAAGATTTTTACTAGGCTTATCAATGATACTAATAGGATCATGTTGCATTATAATGCCATAAAAAAAAAAGTTTGTAACAAAAGAGGTTCAGAAAAAATCTCAAAGCTAAAAGGGTCATTTCAAAAGAAAGTGCTGCCTAAAATGAACAAGAGAAACAGTTAAATCTCAATCCACTACAAAAGCTCCAACAGAGAGAGGAGTAAGAAAAGAATCAATACTCTGATGAATAAACTACATTCACTAACAAACTTCTTACCAGGAGAATGGCACCTGTTTTAAAAGAGCCAAGAGAGAGCATTTCAATTCCCTGCAAATAACAACAAGAGACTCCTTCAATTGATAGAGTTAATTACAAAGTATATTCTACAACACAATATCTCAGGCCCTTAGAAGCTTTCATAAAAGTTTCATTTCTTATAAAATCTTTGAACCTCCCCATAGTTGCCCTTTATTAGATGTAGACTAATATATAAGTTATATAACAACCTAAAACTTGAATGTTTAAGTAATTAGAATAAAAGCATCAAGAGTATTGCATTAAATGGAGAACTTAAGGAAATTAAACAATAAAGAAAGTAAGAAACATTAGCAGAAGATGATTTCCTTCCAAGGCATATTGATTATTGATAAAAAAATACCATTCATGCCAACATACAACTCCAACAATTATTGTTTGTTCAGGGTATTGAAGAATCTCAAAGCAATTTAATTTTCAAAAGCAACCAAATACTCAGAGATCCTTGCTAGTCAATGTTAATTGGCAAACCTGAATGCAGAAAGCAAGGCCAAGAATATTATTAGCCAGCCAATGCTTCTTTGAAGCATACCACGCACAGAAAAAGGTTCCTGGGATTCCTGCGATGATCTGAGACTTTGTGAACTCAATCTCCAAAGCTGTTTAAGAAAGATGTAAGAAAAATTACATTGTGCATCATACAAGCAACAAAATTTAGATGGATCAACAAAGAACTCTATGGAAAAGAAGCTGATATAATGCTTCAACATCCACATATGACCAACTATAAAACAGTGACAATGCTTAAGGCACTCAACTAGATGTTATCACCTTAAACTCAAAAAATACTAGTTAAGCAAACCATTCAGTTTATCCAAGGGACAAACATAGAAAAGGTTTAAAGGAAAACTACATACAGCGAATGTATGGAAAACGCAAAACAATATCATGTTCATTCCAATGCTTTGGCAAGTAGCGTTTTATGGCAGGTAACAATGTTGCCCTACAAAAGATGGAATAAAAAATGAATCAGATAAATAAACAAGAAATGAAATAGAATTAATTTTGATTTTTTTCAGTGAAAATAAACTGTAAATAGTATGCAACTCCATATGAAAAGGACATACGAAAGAGCAATGATCCCAAGCACAAAGAAATAGCAGGTTAATACGGCATTAACCAAGTCTTTGGATAGGAATTTGAATAGCAGGAAAAGTGACAACAGCATTGCACTCCCAACAAAGGGAAAACGCATAGCATGCTCATTAGACATTGTCTCCTGCAAGGAAAAAAAGGTATATCCTGAAACCAAGGATAGAAAGAACACAAATGTGGGTCGAAATCAATGTGTTCTATACTCACGGATGGCGGAGTTGGCTTGACAGACCGATAGCATCCTACATAGACTGTCAGGCATGCTGTCAAAATAACATTTAAGTTTGAATCTACCTTCATAACAAGTGGTGCCAACGTCAAACCTGCATTTGCGAATCATAAATGTTATGTTTGAATGACACACAAAAACATCAACCCCTTCTTTTCATTATGAAGATGTGCAGTGTTTCATCACTTTCAACAATACACTGAAGCCAAATTCACCAATCAACTATGCTACCACTGAGTCTTAAGTGAAATAACAAAGAAACTTTGCAAATCAACAAACATAATTAGATCCAAAACAAGACAATCAGCATTTATTTACAGTAAAAACGCCGACCTGCTAAGGCCAAATTCGCGATTCTTTCAGTGTTCTTCATCCTCGTCTCTTTATTCCTTTTCCCCTCTCGAAAAATTCGAAGTAACCGAAACCTAATATCCGCCAAGAAAGCCTCTGCCGCAATCAAAACCCTACGAAGCAGATCTCGACGTTAATTATCAACAGATTATTTCACATATATAAATTCAGATGACGCCTCATTGAATTTCCGATATACTACCTGAGAGAAACAGAAGGATCTTTTATCTCCGTCTTCCTCTAACGCTCGGTGGGCATACAGATCGGAGTCGGAGATGCCGGAGAAGAAAGAGATATGAATTCAGATATTTCTCCCCTTTTTTTTTATTTCCCTTTTTTTTTTTTTGTTGGCAGTACGGATATAGGGTTTTACACTAAACAGGTCAATGGTCTTATATTTCGTGTTCTTCTCTGTCAAAGTTGATTTTCTCTTACGTTTCCCATGTCTGTGACAAAATTTCATCACAGCCAAAAAAAAAGATACCTTTGGGGCAAAAAAAAACCTTTTTTAAGTTTCTAAACTTATCCCAAAATAACATTTAAGTTCCTAAATAAAAAATAAAGTAAATAAGCCCTTCAACTCTACTAATAATACAAATAAACCCTCCTCACAAACCTACCAAATGGTATTTTATGTTTAATATCACCTTGAAAACATGAATACATATGAATGATAAGGGTTTATTTGCATCATTAGTGGAGTTAAAGAACTTCTCCATTTTATTTTTAGTTGAAGGGTTCAAATGCTATTTTGGGGTAAGTTTGAGGGCTTAACAAAGATTTTTGCCTACTTTTAGACACATGGTAAAACATTGTTGGGATGGTCTTTGGTGCTTGAGAACTGCTGTCATTAGTGCTCATTATTCCTGGGATAAAACCGGGAAGTGATTCCGTGTCATGTCGTAAAGTCAAAGTTACCGCATTGGTGCTTAGACACGTGTGATGAGGGTGCACATCCAATCATTTCTTGCCACATCAGCAAAAAAAAAATATCTGTCCGTCCTAGGTGGCGCTCCTTGGATTTACCTGAAAATGAAAATTTTTATTGGGTTTGATTTATAGTTAACTAAAAGTCTAGGGAGGTGAATGTAGATTTGAAACAGTAGAGGGTGAATTATGGAAATAAAAAAAAATCTCAGAGCCTTTCACTCTCCTTTGCACTACGCTGCCGTCGCCGGAGGAAACTAAATAATACAATCTAAGCACAACTGGAATCGGCGGTATTGCTCAACAATGGCATTTCAACGGCTGCCTTTTCGAAAATTCACTCTTAGAGTCATTCCTTCTTGCCCTTCACCTTTTTTTTCTTCCCTTCAAAACCCTAACTTTGATTCTGGTTTTGGTGTTAGAGCTGTCCAAACACTGGAAAAGTCTGGGAATTCAAGTGCAATACCGGACTCTCTATTGGTGGAGAAGATTCTGTTCAATTTGAAGCAAGGTAATGGCACTTCTTCTTTGCGCAATTATCAATTTCGTTTGAACCCATCAATAATAGCTGAGGTTCTTTATCGTTGTCGGGATAATTTGCAACTTGGACAGGGATTTGTTGATTTTGTTTCACTGAATTGCTCGAATATTAAGCATTCTTTGGTGTCTCTGAGTGCAATGATTCATATTCTGGTGAGGTGTAGGAGATTATCCGATGCACAGGCTTTAATTCTTAGGATGGTTAGAAAGAGTGGTGTTTCACGTGTTGAGATTGTGGAGTCTTTGGTTTCAACGTGTAGAGAATGTGAGTGGAAAATTTTGGCTTTTGATTTGTTGATTAGAACTTACGTACAAGTTAGGAGGTTAAGAGAAGGTTCTGAGGCCTTTCGGGTTCTGAGGAGTAAAGGTTTTTCTGTCTCTATCAATGCTTGTAATAGTCTTCTTGGTGGGCTAGTGAAGATTGGGTGGGTTGATTTGGCATGGGATGTTTATGGGGAAGTTGTTGAAAGTGGAGTTGAGTTGAATGTCTATACATTAAATATTATGGTTAATGCTTTGTGTAAGGATTGCAAGATGGATAAAGTTATGTTCTTTTTATCAGAAATGGAAGGAAAGGGTGTCTATCCAGATACTGTGACATATAACACCTTAATCAATGCTTATTGTCGTCAAGGTCTTTTTGAGGAAGCTTTTCAGTTGATGGATTCGATGTCCAGTAAGGGGTTGAAACCGGGTCTTTTTACCTACAATTCAATCATGAGTGGTTTGTGTAAGAAGGGCAAATATGAGAGAGCAAAGGAAGTTTTTGCTCAGATGTTGCAGGTTGGGTTGAGTCCTGATACTACTACCTATAACACACTGCTTGTTGAGAGTTCTAGAAACAATAATATGTCAGAAGCTGAACAGATTTTCAATGAAATGATGAGTCGGGGTATTGTTCCTGATTTAGTTAGCTATAGTTCACTCATGGGGGTGCTTTCGAGGAATGGACGTCTCGATATGGCATTGTTTTATTTTAGAAATATGAAGAATGTTGGCTTGGTTCCAGATAATGTGATTTATACCATTCTTATTGATGCGTACTGCAAAAATGGCATTATGTTGGAGGCTTTGAAGATGCGGGATGAAATGTTAGAGCAGGGTTGCGTTATGGATGTAGTTACGTATAATGCTATTTTGAATGGACTGTGCAGGAAGAAGATGCTCGGTGAAGCAGATAAGTTATTTCATGAGATGATGGAAAGGCATATTTTGCCTGATTTTTACACCTTCACAACACTCATTCATGGCCACTGTAAGGATGGAAATATGCATAGAGCACTAGGCCTGTTTGAGACAACACTTCAAAGGAATATTAGGCCTGATATTGTGACATACAACACATTAATTGATGGGTTTTGCAAGGTAGGTGAACTGGAGAGAGCCAAGGAGCTCTGGGCTAGTATGATCTCAAGAAAGATTCTTCCTAATCATATTTCATATTGTATTCTTATTAATGGATTTTGTAACTTAGGTCATGTTTCTGAGGCATTCAGGTTGTGGGATGAAATGGTTGGGAAAGGTATTAAGCCCACTCTTGTGAGTTGTAACACTGTTATAAAGGGGTATTGTCGATCAGGCGATGCATCAAAAGCGCATGAATTTTTGACCAGGATGATTTCACAAGGAATTGTTCCCGATGGTATCACTTATAATACTCTTATCAATGGATTTGTCAAAGAAGAGAATATCGAAAAAGCTTTTCTTTTGATCAACAATATGGAGGATCAAGGGCTGTTGCCTGATGTTATCACATATAATATGATCCTAAATGGCTTCTGCAGACAAGGTAGAATGCAAGAAGCCAAGCTGATATTAAAGAAGATGATTGAGAGAAATGTAAATCCTGATAGGTCCACGTACACATCACTGATAAATGGACATGTTAGCCTGGACAACTTAAAGGAGGCATTTCGGTTCCATGATGAAATGTTGCAAAGGGGATTCATTCCAGATGATAAATTCTAATTATTCTCAGTGGCAGTTGTCAACACTCTGGTTTTTCATGTTGTTCCATGCCATATTTGTCTGCAGTGATTGAAGAATTAGCTAAACCAGAGTTTTAAATTTGTCTACTGGCTCTAAGGTCCATTTGAAGGTGAGCAAGTAGATAGTTTCTTAAAGTTGATTCAGATGAGGACTTGAGATATTGAAACTAATACATTTACCATGCATGCAGGGGACATTAGAATGGGGAAGAGAGGCTGCTGCACAACCTCCTTGGATGCTGCACAAACAAAAACCAAATTGAAATAGACTTTCCAGCCACATATTACCATTCAGTGTCATGGTAAGATTTAGAGTGTTTCTCTATGTACTTGTACTTAAGGTACTTGAGATGCATGTGTGATAAGTTGAATTTGTATACATATTAATGTGGAATTGTTGCTTTGATGTTATTGATATTTGGATGAGTTTTACGAGATTTTACTGAGTTTTACATGGTTTTCATTCTTTAAGCAGAAAGGACTTGAATGCATAAAATAAGAGTTTTTGAGATTAATTGAACATCTTTTGAAAGTTGAGGGACTGAATTGCAAGAAGAAGGGCTCCTCTTTGGGACTTCAATGAATGAATCTTGAGGTTTGGGATTTAAGTGCTCATCGTACGAAAGATGGAGGACCAGATCTGCAATTTTACCATTGAAGATATTGCAAAGAGACCATAAACTCGACACGGGTGTAGCGTCGACACATAATCGAGGCGTTTACACCATGCGTCAAGCATCCAGAATTAGACTTTTTGTTTTTTGTTTTGTATCGAACAGTAATTCGGGTGTCGACACCATGCGTTCAGTATCCAAATTTCAACTTCCCCTTTGAGTCTTACTTTTATTTTAATTAGGATTTTTAAAATTTTATAAATATTTATCCAAATTTAGAATTAAGAGGGCTTTGAGGAAACTGGTGGCAGCCCTTTTTTGGGCATTCTTGAAGATCAAATTAGACTATCCATCAACTATAAAAGATCAAAAATTTCAATTATCTCAAATTAGGTTTTGTTTTTCTTTAGATATTCTTATGTTTATAACTGTGATTTTAAATTTTATTTTTTTATTATGAACTAATTTATTTTATTAAATTTACGATGTAACATAATCAATTTAATATAAATTTTATGATTTTTATACTTTCAATTAAAGTTATTTGCATGAAGAATCTTATTGAATTTAATGTTCCAATTGATTTAGTGATTTATGCATAAACTTGAAAAAAAAATTATGTAAATTAAATCAATAATAATATAAATCGTGTGTTAGATTATGAGATTGAGAGGTAATTAACTCACATGTGGTAGTAGAGACAGAGAAGAGAGTTAGGAGGTTTCCATAGAATCTAATATTCATTAGTTTGTTTAAAATTACATTGAAATATGATTAATTTAACAAACTAGTAAATGATTAATTTAACTTGAGAAAGTTAATTAATTAATTTAGAAAAATTTGCCATCACATGCAATAACACTCAAAATTTTGATAATTTAAAATTTATATTAATTGATTATGGTAAAGTCAATACCTTAGTATCTCATATCTTAGTTAGGTTTAATTTAATTGTTATTTTCCTTTTATTATTTTTTAGTTAAACTTTCTTTCTTTTATAGTTCAAATAAATTTAGATTAATTATTTTAATACTTAATTAGATACAATTCTCGTTGGTTCGACATCCTCTCATCATTATATTACTTAGAGCGACTACTCCACTTATTATAGTGATCTTAGTGCATCAATGTGTACAAGTGAGTATTCTGTGAGAAGATATTACAATTTGTCTTCATTTTCCTTCCACTTAATCTATGTTGGAATGAACAGAAGATAATGGTCACTGCAATCAATTTGGTTTGATTTGCTTGACCTGTTTTAGTTATATTGTGATTGTTTGTATGTTAAATTCAGAGCATCTCTCCCCTGCATAATCATTCAACTTCTTTGGTTCTTAAACAGCTTATTAACATATCATTAGTTTCTTGGCATATTATCTGCCTCCCAAATCCTTATTATAGACTATGATTATGATTGTTTCTACCATCCAAGCTGATTTATTTTCCCCTTTATTGTAAACTGGATGCATTTGAAGTGCCCTGTATCAGTTCTTACCACAATATTCAATGTTGGGGCTGAAAGATGTAGGACTTTATTGTCACATAATGAAGAAGGGGAGAGAGACAAGAAGAGAAAGAAGAGTTCAGTGTATTCCAAGGTTGCAGCATGTAGCCCTCGCCTCTTGGCATTTTATGTTCAGAATGAAAGAATAAGGTCAGTAGAAGCAAGGAAATTGTAGCTTTCTGGGAACTTGCTTCAGATTGATATATATCCAGAGTTCAGAAATCTGATGTGGAGACTGATTTCAGGGTGGCCATTACTTTTGTCAATTGAAGATCCTCTAGTTTATGCCAGCATGTGACCTATTTGAAGAAGAAGATGTTGCCAGTCTGTGGCTAATGAAGTCAACACGGAAACCATCCCACTCGATCAGAGGTATACAATGGTGAATGAATGGATTCTCTTCTATCTTTCTTTCAATATTCTGATTCTTGTTTGCAATTACATAAAACAAGGAAAATAGGAAGTGGTTTTCATTGTCAGTTTTCCTACCGCCGCCGAAATCTTTTAGATCTCATTGTATCTGATTCAGTCAATAAGAATTTCTGTTTTCAGCTTTAACCACATCTCTAGAATATATTCTAATGGAAAAGTAGTTGTCAATCAAATAATTCGTTGGTGAAGAAATATAAACTTGAAAAGTAAGGCACTTTGTTTTATATTAAACCAATGTCAAAGAATTAAACTCCCAAATAAATG